CTTAGAATATACATTCCTATCCTAAGTAATCCAAGAATTCATGTCTGGACGTTCTCTAAAAAGTACTTGAAAAGTTTTTCCAAATAGAAAGTTTTCATTTTTGGAAGATTTCCTAATTTGAAAATTTTCCATTTTTAGAATGCTGTCCTAATTCAATTATCCCTAATAAGTTTGATTTATTTGTTAACTTACATTTTTTTGTTTTTTTGTAGAAACGACCACACTAGTTTGGGACGGATTTAGGCATGGATTTGGCTCTATGGCTAAGCCGATCCATGGAATAGATTTATTTTTTATTTAAACTTGGTTTAGAGACTGATTTGGACTTTTTAAAATGTCCTTGGGTTCATTTGACAACATTGGGTTAGTGTAATAAAATTGGATCCTCAAAGAAATATAGGCTCGACCTATTAAGACAAGAGTCATAGACTCATAGTAACAAAACTTGGGTTATGAAAAATGTATTCCTCTAATTCAAAGAACAACTAATATGCCCGAAATAAAATATTACAACTTCAGTTCTTAGGCCTGATAAATAAGTTTATTTCATTTGTTCCGAAACTTAATAGGCCCAACAAATATTTTTGGCCCAAGTTTTTTTTTTTTTTTTTTTGTTCATAACTAGTTAAAAGTGACAAATTAGTGGCAAATTATTCACTTAGCCCGAATGGCCTCTTTTATTAATTAGGGATAATTTCATAAACCTCCATTGAGGTTTCTAACAATCTCACTAGCCTCCCTTAAAGTTTATAAAATTACACAAATCTCCCTTGAGATTAAGGTTTTGATAACAAAATTAGTTCAATTAGAAAAAGCAACATTAAAAAAGTACTTTAATTGTTAGATATTAGTAATGAGAAATGAGGGAAAAGAAAGGCAAATGCAAACAATCCCTCTCCTTAAAGTACTTTTTTAATGTTATTTTTTCTAATTAGACTAATTTTGTTTTCAAAATCTTAACCTCAGAGGAGATTTGTGTAATTTTGCAAACTCTAAGGGAGGCTAGTGAGATTGTGAGAAACCTTAGGGGAGGTTTCTAAAATTATCCCAAAAAACTATTGCAGGTATAGAATTCTGCAGATATTAATCGATTTTGGGCCGTTTGTTTATTTCAATTCTTCATTGCCTGGATTCATCACTAAATACTTCATCGTTGCATACCGGGCATGTCTGGCAAAACAAACAAGATCATCTACCACATGAATTATCAAAAAAGTACCAGACTTAATTACCATATATACCTCGTTAATACTCAGCCATTTGAATCCACAATGACTGTACATGTTTGCATGGCAAATTTATTTGTACCTCATTTGGCAGATTACACATCTGGTTCACGAACACTACATAATGAAACAACAATCAGTATAATGCTGGACGAAAAACTCGAAGCATCAACATCAAATGTGTTAAACAGAGGCAGATACATGAGAGAGAGAGAGAGAGAGAGCAGCGGAGGATGGTTGAAACCTTCTCATTTTGTTTCATTGATCATATTTCGATGTTCTTTATTTTTTCTTTTCTCTTGTAAAGCTCGACAAGAACCCAACAGGTTTGGGTAGAAAGAAAATCTAGCCATTGTAGTAGATCTATATTACTTATGGAGTAAATCCTGTACAAACTATGTATAGTTGTATATACTATCAATTTTATACACATCAAATTTAGATTTTTTTAGTAGGAAAGAAATTACATCTAATTTAAATTACTTATCATGCAACCAAACTTGACAATATATAAAAAATTGATCCTTAGTTTTTCTGGCAAGTACTTAGTCCTAGAAAAGACACGAGTGAAAGAGTGACACAGGCCTTGTCAGTAACATTCGATTCAAACTAACAGAGGACCCGTTACCATCTAGAAAGAAAAAGGAGCAAAATTCCTGAATTCTGGTGTCACATTGAATGGAGCAGTCCAGTGCATCATTTAGCATACGTGATAATGACAACCATATATTCTCTAAAAGAGTAAATAAGTTAGATTATTCATTTCCTTGATTTATTTGCTCAAATCTTGAAATGCAGTCCTGACAACTTATCACAGAACAGCATTAATATTAATTAATGTTACCTATTGTTTCCACAAGCTAGTGCTTCGTCAGTTTTCACCTAGTAATTACCCTGCATAGACAAGGCACAACAAAGAGGAAACTGGTCCATAGGGCTTCTGCCGAATGCCTTTGAAAAAATTAAAACAACAAAAACAAATCAAAGTGAAAGCATTCCATACACATTCAAAATTTTCAAGCTACTTTTGTAAGTGTATGGAGATTTCAAAGTTATTTTCATTATGTTTAAGAATCTGGATGTAGTTCATAAGAGAAATAAAAAGAAGAAGGAAGGTAAGGATAAAGATAAAAAAAAAATAACTATAAAATCCGTTAGGTTTAACTTTCGACCATAAAGGACATGAGTTGAAGGGGATGTGGTGATTGGTGAAAGTTGTTGACGGGTTTTTACTTTAAGTGCAAGTTTAATTCCGAATTATACCCGTTTTACTGCAAGTACACAGGCCAAAATTGTAATATTGGGTATGTATCGGGTCGAGCCCACAAGGAGCAATTAAAACAATTATTAGATACTAATTTACTCTATTATTTAGACTCACAATAAATTGGAGCAGAAAATTCAGAATTTAATCCAACTACAAAAATTCTTAACTAGATAAATGCAATTTCACAAAAGGAGTAGAATTCACTAAATATTAAGATCTAGGGATGTAGATTCCACATATGACACAAAAGATCTAAAACGAATGAATTTAACACTTGTTACTACTCTTGTTTAACCAATGATTCATTTCCAACAATACCAAAATCACCTTCTCATGATAATAATGGGTTAAAACAGATTAGTTTTTCCTAATCTCTTGGTAAATACTAAATCTGTTTTGTGCGTACATGAAATGTAGATTTCATCCACTTGAATGTATTTCTATTCTCATGAATATACTACAAAGCTCTACTTATGTCATTCCATTATTTTTACCATTTCTCAATGAGTAAAAACAACTAAAAACCTGCTATTGGTGATCAAACAACAACAAGTAATCCAACATACACAAGTAGATAAGTTAAAACAGAATATAACAAGTATATAACAAGTATAAATCATAATCACTTCATATCACTTAGCCATAAGCTTCATCTACTCCCTAGATAAAGGAAATTAGCTACTCATGAATGATGAAACACTCATAACTTCATTAATGTAAATCATCATGAATTACAAATACAAAAAGAGTAAAGAAAGTCTTAGCCAAGATATGGTGAAGCCTTCCAAAAATCTCCTTTGTCTTGAACTTAGATGATTACAAGATGAAACCTCAATTGCCCCTTGCAAGTTTCTAGCTAGAGAGAATATGTTTTTTAGTAAGAATACTAGCTACGTATGGATCTACAGACCTCCCTCAATGTCTCTGCATAAAAACTACTCAAAGGCTTCATTTTTCCAAGTCAAATTCCAACCTTTGATTCCCAAATCTCCACTTTGTTAGCATAGTCAATAACCAATATTTTTGACTTGAAAATCAGCCACCTTTCGTGCCCTTTGGTCTTCTGAAGCATGTGCACCGAATTCCCTTGCAATTTATAGCTGGAAAGTAGTTTGAACACAGGAGAAATGGCTGAGCAAATTGCAGATTTTCGGCTACAAAACGCGACTACACAAAACGCGGCATAAACTCGCGTTTTCAATTTGGCCTTGTTTCAACTGCGATTTTCTCTATGATAAAGGCCGAACTAACTTTTGTATAAAACACAAACGTTGTAGCTCTTTGAATTATATTTCCAATGCTTCAAGAATCATCTAAATCAGAGCTTTGTAGCCTGAGATATGATTGAAATATTATCACCTGGTCAAACCCCTGTTTCGATTTTCGACCACAAAATGCAGCTTCTGTATTCCGACTTTTTGTCCATGAAAACAGCAGAATTGGATTTCGATCTATTCATAACAATTGTAGGTCTCTTTCTTAGCTTTAAAATGGTACAAAGATCACCTCAATCTGATAAGTGTAGCTCCAGATATAGTCGAAATACCGAAGAGTGTCAAAACTGTCTTGAACCACACTTCTACACTTAAACGTTTTTCTCTTCATTTCTCTTTTAACCACTTGAATTCATCACCAATTATCTATTTTTCACCTCACTTGACATCCCTTGGTGATTGAATCATTAAACCTACATAAAAATGAAGTTTTTATCACTAAAATCAATAGAAATGCAATATTAGCCACTTTTACCAAAAATATATATTTTTACCAGAACCTAGGTATTTTAGTTATAAAACTAAATAATCAAACCAAAATTAACTAATAAAATGCACTTAAAAATACGTAAAATAAACCCTTATCAGTTGTTGCAGCCTTATATGCTTCGGGCAGTTTGGCATTAAGTGTTCTATTTAGGCCCCCAAATTAAATCTTGAATGTCACTTAACCAATGGCAACTCAGTGTTGTTCTATCATCTGATGCCAAGTGTCCAATTAATTTAAATTAAAATTAGATATCACGTGATAACTTAAGTTAATTAGATACTTGACATAATTTTAACAGTGACACTGAGTTGCCACTGAGAAAGTAATACTGAAAATATCAATTGTTATACTCGAGGGTAGTTGTGAGTTGAACGACGAAGATAAAAATGGAGTGAAGTAAACTAAGGCAGAAAAATTGTTTACAAACTTAATTGGGCTGCTGGAATTTACTGGAGGAATGTATAAGTAGATGAAAAATAAGATAGGTTTAATTCTAGATGTTAATTGGATTACAATATGGAATTTCAAAAATAATTTAACACGGCAGAGTAGATATTTCCCTTGCACACAGAAATTCCATTATTGCATAATTTTTGAAGAATATGACATATTAAATACAGGATTTTTTTTAACGAATGTCCATTCCTAATGGATACTCGTTAACACACTTAAATTATACTTAACTTACCATATTAATATACTCTTACATTTAGATATCTTTTTGAATTGATTATACTTTTTAGAAAAAAAAAACTACAATAGGGCGTTGTCGATAGAATGCGAATTTTGGAGGCAAAAGGCAGGGATTCGATGGATCAAGGAAGGGGATGCGAACACCGCTTTCTTCCATGCCCTTGTCAGACAACGGCGTAACTCCAACTTTATCTCACCCATAAAGCGGGATGATGGGGGATGGTTCGAAACTGAACACGAGATCAAAGCGTCAGCGGTTAAGTTCTACTCGGACCTCTTCTCGTCCAATAGACAGAGGGTCCCTGTACCAGATCTCCCTTTTGAGGTGCCGAAGATAGCGCGGTCGGAGAATGAGATGATGAAGGGCATACCCTCCGAAGAAGAGGTTTGGACCGTGGTGTTCGGCTTGGATATTGATAGTGCACCGGGCCCGGATGGCTTTGGGGCAGGCTTCTACCAAAGTTGTTGGGGCATCATCAAAGACGATCTCGTGCTTGCAGTCCAGGACTTTTTCAAGGGAATGCAACAGCCACGAGGTTGGACGAGATCACTCCTGATTCTCGTCCCAAAGACTGAGGGAGCATCACACTGGAGGGAATTCCGGCCCATCAGTCTGTGCAATGTGAGCTCGAAGATCATCTCTAAGATACTCACTAACAGGATCAATCGGTTGCTGCCCAACCTGATCTCGCCTTGGCAAGCGGGCTTCGTTCCAGGAAGGGGGATCGTAGACAATATTTTGCTTGCACAGGAAATGATGGGAGAGCTTGATAGGAGACTGGCAGACCCAAACGTGATCCTTAAGCTCGATATGGAGAAGGCCTATGATCGGGTAGACTGGTCCTTTCTGTTATTCATGCTCCGTCAGTTTGGATTTGAGGAAGGTGTGGTTGACCTTCTATTTCGGACGTTCTCCAATTCATGGTTTTCGGTATTGGTGAATGGGGAGCGGTCTGGTCTCTTCAAGTCCTCTCAAGGGGTTCGGCAGGGGGATCCATTATCTCCTGCGTTTTTCTTGTTTGTAGCCGAATTTCTGGGTAGAGGTATCCAGCAGTTGTTTGAAGCTAAAAAGAGCCGCTACTTTGCGACTGCGGGGCCGAATGTTCCGTATCTAGCCTTTGCGGATGACACAATCATTTTCACTCGCTGCTCCCACGACGCATTGACAGCAGTCCAGGATTTATTACGCTTATATCAAGCATATTCGGGGCAGGTGGTAAATATAAGTAAGAGTTCCTTCGCATCATCCTCGAGGCTGTTAGAGTCACGACGGGGGATTGTAAGGGCAATTCTTGGCTTTAAGGAACAGCAACCCCCCTTGATCTACCTGGGGATCCCCTTGGGACGAGGCAGGGTTACGAGTGCGATCTTTGATGGACTATTATCTAGGATGTGGCAGAGGTTATTTCACTGGAGTTCAAAGATGCTGTCAATGGGGGGCAAAATCATCCTCATCCATCATGTATTGGGTTCTATACCATTATATTGGCTTCAGGCTCTGCAACCCCCAGGGGCAGTGCTAGTAGTGATGGGTCGGCTCTGCAACGCCTTCTTATGGGACAACCCAGACTCTCGACGAATTCACTGGGCGGCATGGGAGAAGGTGTGCTACCCGGTCGAGGAAGGGGGGTTAGGATTTTGTTCGTTTGAGTCGCTGGGGCAGGCGTTTGCATGCAAGCTGTGGTGGAAATTAAGAGCAAATGAGTCGTCGTGGTCAAATTTTATGCATTGCAAGTATGTGAAAGGAGTGCATCCGGGCTTGGTTTCAATTCAGCGACCTTCGCCCGTGTGGCGGCGACTGCTGCAGGTGCGGAAGGTTGCTGAAGAGAACATCCGATGGTGCCTTGGTGAGGGTTTGGTAGATTTTTGGCAGGACAGATGGTGCACGGATGTTTCCCTCGCCCAGTTGGTCTCGGGCCATAGTCACTCGCATCTTCTGGTAGGGGAACTCTTCATGGACACAGGATGGGATGCTCAGCGCCTGCGGCAGTTGCTGCCGGGAGCCATGGTAGAGAAGGTCCTGGCCCTACGCGTGTTCCCGGGTATGCGGGACAGGATGATCTGGGCGGCGTCCCAGTCGGGGGAATTCTCCATCACCTCAGCGTGGGAGCAGCTTCGGGGGAAAAGAAACATTTCCATGGTGGACTCCCTTGTATGAAGCCCGATTATCCCAAAAAAGATCTCTTTCTTTGGGTGGAGGGCGCTGAGGAACTGGCTGCCATTGGATGGGGTATTATAGCAGCGGGGACGTCCTTTGGCGTCTAGGTGCTCATGCTGTGGGAGTACGACGGAAACCATTGACCATCTCTTGGTAACCGGGCCAGTGGCTGCGACAGTGTGGAGGTGTTTTGCAGATCGCTTCGGAATTGTGACACAGGGGCGGGGGGTGCAGGCTAGACTCGCCAGCTGGTTCTTCTCCCGCTCCTATGTGAGCAGGAATCACATTCGTGTCCTTCTCCTTATGGTGATCCTATGGTTTCTATGGAAATCCCGTAATGCGGCTCGCTTTGAGGGGACAGCCATGGCCTCGGGGAGTATCATTTTGTAGGTTAGTGCATTTATCCAGCTACTGGGAAGGGGAGGCCGGTTACGCCGGAAGGACTTCCAGGGAGATGCGGATTGCGAGTGGGCGACATTTGGTAGAGGCAATCGATGGCAGGATATGCCCCGCACAGTTACTTGGGCAATGCCACCCAGGTACTCAGTGAAACTGAATACCGATGCTAGCGTCACCGAAGGGCTGGCCGCCGGGGGAGGACTGGTGCGTACCTCAGATGGCGACCTGGTTTTTGCATTTTACAAGGAGTTCGGGGAGTGCGATGTGCTCATGGCAGAGGCATTGGCGTTATTGGAAGGTTTGCGGTTATGTCATGATCGGCACATCATGAACTTTGTGGCTGAGGTGGATTCGAGTGTTTTGGTGAGCCTGGTCTCTTCTTGCGGTCCTGCCCGATGGCCCTTGGTCAACACTTTACGTCATATTCAATGGCTTTCAGGGCAAATGGGGGTCTCGGTGGCACTCATCTATCAAGAAGCAAATACGGTAGCGGATGCCCTTGCGTGCTTGCGGCCACAACAGGATGGCGTTTTCATAGTCAGGGCTGAGCTTCCTCGGAAGGCCCGGTCCGCTCTCCAATTGGACAGGCTCTCGGTTCCCTCGATTCGGCTTGGCAGAGCCCGTCATTAGTTTCACGTAGTTTTGGCTAGACTCTTTTGGTTCTATGTAACTTTGTTCGCCCGGTGGCAATAAAAGTTGAAGTTTGGAAAAAAAAAAAAACTGATTCAAATTTTTGCCAATTATTAAGTGTTTGATGCATAGTGTATAGCTTGCCTAATACAGTTGCCCTCCCTCCTCCCTTCTGCACTCCAAAGAAAAAAATTATATTTCAATATGACTAATATAAGAGTCTAACGTACAAATTTAATGTTTTTCCACCATGCCGATATAAACTTGGGAAATAAAAAAGTCCTAATTTCTCAGAGGAGATGATTGAATTGGATAATAAGGGATAGAAAGAGTTATACGTAAGAGGTTTTGGATTCGAGACTTTTTACTTAGAAAAAAGGGGGTCCTAAATCCTCAAGCTGAACTAGAGATATGTAGCGTCCGGAGTAATTCAAGAAAGGATACTCTTTTAGATTTCCTTAATTAATCTGGAGTCATGGCATGCCACATGCCATTGATGTTTTATCTGTTACTTGCACTATTTTCCATGCTGTCTATCGGTATCATGTAGACACATAAATTCATACATACATACGTACTCTCTCTCTTACACACATTTTAACACATTTTTATGCATACTCTTCTCTCTCTTTTACACACACAAATTCACACTCGCACATAGATACACGCACTTTCTCAACAATCATGCACATTTTTTTTGCGAAAACACACTTTCAAATGTATTCTCTTTCATTTTTTTTAACATGGAAAATGTGAGATTTAAAAAGTAGAAATGGGATAAGAAGGATTTGAATTCTGAAATTCTAATTCCTAGAACCATAATCTTAGAAGCTACATTTTTCTTTCCTCAAATATACGCATTAATGCATACTTTTTCTCTTTCCCACACTCGCATGCGTTTAATACTAATATTCAATTTATCAATATCAGAAGCGATGTATTAAAAATCAATTTAGAACAATCGTAAAATAATATTAGATGGGGTGTCAAAGACATGAATTAATAAGATTTTATGCAACTAGATGCATTGCCAATTAGTTTTGAGGTTGTAACTCTGGTTATTTATCAAATGCAATGTGTATGATATTAAGTAGTGTAACGCTCACATTTATGAGTTTAGTTAAGCATAGTTCCCTGTTCTTTCCAATGTGAAATGTATGCAATAAGTAAGGATTAAAATTCAAACCTCCTTCTTAATCAATGCAATGTACAAATTTTAATATTAATTGTACAAGTCATGAATGCATCAAAAATGTGAATTTAAGATAAATGGATGTCGATTTAACTCATTTCCATTTTCCTAGAATAATGTTATGGTGTGGCATCATATATTAAAGATGAAAAATAACTTGCATTTTCCCAATAAAATGTCAAACCGTGCTGTTTTAATATTGAGATGTCATTAATGCAATAAACGTAGTTAATTCAAATATGACAGGATCTTGTATTTTCAGAAAATATAATGTCAAACCTTTTAATTCTAGTGTTGTTGTTTTATTAGTGCACCGACCATAACTGATGTTACTTAGTCTCATTTAAAGAGGTAATTTCACAAATTTGAAGAATAACACACAGCATTAACAAAAATGGTTACCATTGCAAACATATAGATGTTTCTTTATCTTCTTTTTTTTTATCATTTTGCCTTGTTCAAACATCATATAAAGTGGTTGCTTCGTACTACTATAATGTTCATGTGATCAATGGCCTCCCGAATAACGATATACCCTTAACCATCCATTGTCAATCAAAAGATGATGATTTAGGATACCATACCCTCCACGTAAATGACGACTTCCATGGGCGTTTCTCACCCAATATTTGGTTGAGTACTTTATATTTTTTGTCACTTTTGGTGGGGAACACAAGATACAAGTTTTGATGTTTATAATACCGAGTTGGCAAATAGTTACTGTGGAAGCATTTCTAAACCATTCAGAAAAAATTCCTACTGCTATTGGTTGGTAAAGGAAGATGGGTTCTATATTAGTGGACGTGCAAATCCAGGGCCGGGTGACTATACGAAGTTGCATACTTGGACCAAAAAGGTGGAATAGTCAGCACAAAAGTGATTCATTAAGTTTCATCCAACGAAGAACACTGAATAAAGTGCAATCCAATTTACTCTTGTGCTGGGTATTCCGCGTTTTTACTTTTAATATTTGCTTGTTGATCATAATTTTTCTAATGTTTTCCGCTCTTGATATATTACTAAACATTGTTTAACGTCTGGACAAAGTTGTCTTATCATTCTTGAGAAATAATCAATGAATATTTCAATAGTACCACTCAACATTCAAGGCGTAAAAGTTCCATGAAATTCTATGGATAGTATTAGTAGACCCTAATTGAAACATAATAAACTATGAAGTATCAAGCAGGCTTGAACTTATTTGGCTAAACTAAATGCGCCTGTCAACATAGGTGACAGTTTTCAAATTGGCCACATCAATGCATGAAAGAGCACATATTTTTGAAAACCTATGATGCCATTAAAAATGCAATAAATTCATGTTGAAGTGAGTTGTTAGTTGTTGATAGACAGTGGTTAGTTGTTGATATCTTCTTGTGTTTGATGTATATCAATTAGGGATTTAATTAGAATAGATACTATCTGGAAGTTGTATAGATTCATTGTATCATATTTTGTTGTAAACTTATATATAAGCCTCATATTATTGTAATATTTGTGAGAGAAATATAGAGAAAATTTTCCCCCAAAACTCTTTTCTTCTTAATATGGTATCAGAGTAGGGATTCTAGGGTCTCTATTCAAGTGCTACTCTGATATAACCTTAAACCAAGAACCATGACAGAATCATCTGAAATGGTGAAACATAGTGAAGCTGCCTTTATGCTAGAAGACTTCATTGCACAAATGGCAAAAGTTTGGATCAAGACCTAGAAGGCTACATCAACCAATGATTCATTTATCGCGAATATTGGCATCAACTTGGATGACACCAACTCTACCTTGTGGTCCTAAGTTATTGAGATGGATATCTTGAGTAATGACAATTTGGGTTATGTTAACAGAGAAATTCCTTAACCTTCACCAATAGATCCTGCATAATGACAATGACAGACTGAAGATTCAATCATGAAGAGCTGACTAATAAATAATATGGATCCATTCTTGATTGGTAATTCATCCATTTCCCTAATGCAAAAGCGGTATGAGATACAGTTGCTACAAAATACTTTGATGGAACTGATACATCCCAACTGTATGATTTACAGCAGAAGGTGACCAGGATGGGACAAGTTGGAGGGCCGATTAAGAAATATTATAACGACCTGCAAGGTTTGTGGAGAGATATGAATTTCTATTGGTCAAGCCCAATTAAGTGTGCTATCGATGTCGACAGGTATAACTCTCTTATACAGGAAAAGAGAGTGTACATTTTTCTTAATGGGTTAAATGATCGATTGAATAAGATTCGTAGTGATACATTACAAATGAAACCATTTCCAACAATGAAAGAGGCATATACCTATATTCAGCATGAAAATAGTAGCCAATCAATAATGTTAATAGGGAGAGATAACACAATCGGCTCTATCATGACTTTTAAAGATGCGAAAAGTAGGCCAATCATATTAGCTCAAATCAATGTGCTGACTGAAGAAGATGGCTACACTTATTGTAGGAATAAACCCATATCCATGATACTTGTTTCAAACTACATGATATCCAAGATGACGGAAGGAGTGCAAAGGACAAAATCGATAGACTGACCGATTGAATGTTGCTGATCAAAATGGAAGACTAGCCATAAAAGTTATTGATTCAGTTACATCAATCATAACTCTTAATATTGCACAGGTGCCTTCTGTTCCTTTGACCGATACCACAACAGCTTATCAGCATCAAGGTAATTGTGGTTCTCATCTACAATGATAATGACTAATTTGCCAATTTAGGTGCTACTAATCACATGACCTATGATCTGAATGATTTTTCATTTATTACTCTTTCGAGACGATCACTGATTTCTAATGGCAACGGCATTGAATATTTAGTTACAGGGGCTGAAACTGTTATTTTATTTTCATCTCTTTGTCCACTTAACACCTTATTGATGCCCTCCCTTTCAAATAAGCTACTGCCTTTTAGTCGAATAATAGCTAATCTCAACTATGTACCGCTGTTGTATCCAATCTTTTGTTTTCTTCAGGATATTGTCACCAAAAAGATAATCGATCGTGGTAGTAGGAGAGCAAATTTATACTATATGGATTATTTTAGTCCAAGCAGAGCAAATAAAAAAAAAAGCACCAATATGCTAAACTTTGAAAGATCCAATTTTCGCATCAACGATTGAGGCATCCATTCTTTGGGTATATGAAACACCTATTTCCTAACTTATTTGCTAGTGTTAATGTTACAGATATGAAAAGTGAAACTTGTATTTTGGCCAAGACTAGAGTCATAGAGTCCCTTATTTGATCAATCTTAATAAGTGTAATACTCCTTTTGCTTTGGTGCATTCTGATATCCAGGAACCTTCATCGATTAATTTATATACTGGTATTCATTGGTTTATAATCTTTATAGATGATTGTACTCAGATGACTTGATTGTATCTATTGAAACATAAAAATGAAGTGCTGGACATTTTTAATTCATTTTGTTCAATTACTTTATACATAATTTTTTACTACAATCAAGATTCTTCAATCAAATAATGATGGTAAATATGATAATCGACCATTATAGAATTTCTGCAATACTAATAGTCTCATACATGAAACTTTTGGTACTCATACTCTACAGTAAAATGGAGTGGTTGAAAGGAAAATGGGTATATATTAGAAACTGCACGTGCCTTGCTATACAAATATTTCATCTCGATATTAGCCTAATGCAATCACCACAACAATAATCCACTTGCTGAACAGTGCCTTTGAAAGCCATAAACTTTTAAATTTCACTACAAGGTTTCTATCAATATTTTACTCTACCATTGGTGCTAATGGTTCCAGCACGAGTGTTTGAA